AAACTGGATTTGTTTATGTCATTCAAATGATTTGTGCCTTTTTGACTTGTCTTAGTTCTGGCTGACAGTTGTTAGGTATTTTGTCTCCTTAATACCTTAAAAGAGTGGTAATATCAAAGAATGCAGATAGTCAACATCCTCACCAGTTTCAAAAACACCACTTTTTATTTTAAATATACACATCGTCCACATTAGCCTTGTATATTAGAGCTCTTAAAAGTAACAAGCAAAGAAGAGCCACATAAGTCCCCTTTGGAAATTCCTGGTCAATGTTAGAGTGGAGTGAACCAACATTTTGCTGAAGATTTTAAGCCTGAAATGCGGTAATGATGCCTGGCATAATGCCATTTTGTTTTAAAAAAAAAACAACTCTCCCACTCTGTTCATACCCTGTGTTCATTCTTTGTGTTTTCATTTTGCTGTTCATTGTTCCCTGTCATGTTGATAGCGAATTTAATAGGCTTTAAAGTCATTTGCGTCTACACCCATGCGTATGAGATTTACGTACCGTTAAAATTACATACACAAAATTTGACAAACATAAGAGCCACATGGGCAACCCCAGTTGCTTACCAGTCACAGGTTGGCCATGCCTGCTCTAGGTTGTTCAGTAATAACAACAAAATATTAGAAAAGAACAACATCAAAATATTAGAAAACAATCTTCCGCCTATCGTCACTTACCCTTAGTTTATGTTTCAATATTGTCATAAAACTTTGCATCACTTATCAGTGTTACTTCTGTAATTGATTCCTTAACTCACAGCTTGATGTTTTGCAAGATCAAAAAATGACTTCCTTGACTTTTCCAAAACACCAAAATAAAAGTTAAGTCCTGTTGGTAAGTCCTAAAAATCCTAAAGCTTAAATGGCTCTGACAGTATAAACATTTTATAAACCTCCACCGTTTAAAGGTGAAAGTTTAAAAACTTAGCTCAAAGCTCTTAATCATCTACCTGATGGGAACTATGACCTGTTGTCCACACACATTCAGTGTGTGTCTACTGTCTTGCTGTTTTCAAACTTATCTTTTCATTTGTGTTTCAGACCAGCAGCAGTATTGACAGAGAAAAGGACACAAGGAAAGGAAACAACAATCTGCAAGATGTGAAGAGAAAAGGAAAAATGGAGAGGAAACGGGAGGAGGAGGAGCTGAACAACAGCCTCAAGTCACTGGTAAACACACAAAACAAAAGAAAATGTCCTCAAAAACCCATTTTATGTATTCACTTTGTGTGTGTGCGTCTGTGTAGGACCTTTCTTTTAGGTCAACTGTCAGTGAAACAGGCCTGATTTTTTCTGAAGTCTTCACTCGTCATAAAAACCTTTGGGATTCCAGGTAACAGACAATCTCATATTAGTAGTTCACGTAATTCAAGGTGGTTGAAAATATAAACCTTCACTTGTGCTATTTTGATGTATTTTGTGTATTCATTTCTAGTCATGTAGAAGGTCCAGACAGAGTTATGTCCATTATGCACGAGCTGGAGAAACAGGATCTGATCTCTCACTGTGTCAGGGTGGAGGTAAGGCTTAGTTAGTTTGAGTGTCTGTCTTTCATCCATCTGCGGACACATTAGACACTTTTTCTCAACAGATGCTCTTCATGTAGCTAAATAGTGGAGTTTGTTATGTAACATAACCGATGTCTCTTATGATCATAATAATACATTTTATTTATATCCTCATCGTCCCCATCATCTCTTTGTTTTTGTTGTATTTTAGCCCAGAGAGGCTTCCGAAGATGAGCTGCTACAAGTTCACACGTGAGTCTTCTTCCTGTACCAACGTTTACTCCTGTGCATGTCCCATGAATTCCACTTTTCTTCACCATGCTTTGCTGACATCTGTAGTTTTAAACGGACTGCTCTCTCATAACCTACACCCCTGTTCTGAGGGGTGTACCGCAAAGTGAGTTTAGTGGGTTAGTGGGCTATGTTGAGTCCAAAGCCAGGCTTTTCTGTACTTCAAAGGTGGCTCTCTTTTAACCCAGCTAGATCGCCATGGTAACTTATGCTTCGCTCATAAACTGATCCCGACCAACTAATGTTCAGAGTTTCACCTTAAAATTGGTTATTAAAGCGCTGCAATTTTACTGTGTTACTCGTTTGGAGATGGCATCTACTGTACATTTATTGAGAATCTGGTGGACTTGGGAGCATGAAAAATGTGGGCAGCACTTAGACAGGACCAACTTATTTGGGATTGCACTGATTTATGAAATTCTCTGAGTGATGTATATTTTCTGCTTAGGGAATATGTTACATTTGCAGTTGTTGAGATTAGAGTCAGGAATGTCACTCAAAGAAGCTTTGCACTCACCGTCTAATAACACGCAATGTGAAATATTAATCCGACCTAGTTAGTACTTGTTTGTCGTAGATAATAAGTAAAGTCAGTATTTTAAGTTAAGTTAACGCATTTGTGTTTCAGAATAGTTTTTCAAGTTTGGTTTAAAACCTTTGTTTTTGAAAAATTCTATTCATATTTTGCTTGCACAGATGAAAACCAAGTTATACCTTAAGTATGCTGCTACAGGCCTAGACTGCTGGGGGAACTCCCAAGGTGCACTGAGCACTCCCCCCCTCTCTTCTAATAAATGCATCCATAATGTTATGACAAATCTAATTATCCACACTGTATGTCTACTCCTGTTATCTCTTTCTTTCCCCTCCTCTTTTCTTCCCGTTTTGTGAATTTAAAGTTGATCACCACCTTCGCAGTACTGTTTAACTCTAATTGCTGCCTTTAGGGGTTGTTAAGCCAGGCAATGAACACAAAATCTGGATATTTTTTGAGCCTCCTTCACATTATATGACCCTGGTTCAACTGGCATTCTGCATCTATTGATCATCCCACATGTTCTCTGCTGACCTCTGGTCTGCTTGTTGTAGAAAGGAGTATGTGGACCTAATGAAGTTGACCCAGACAATGTCAGAGGCTGAACTCAGGAGTCTGTCTGACCAATACGACAGTGTGTACCTGCATCCTGTAAGAACACGCACACATGCTCGTTCGGTGGTCCACATGAGTAACTCACAAAGCAAAGACTCCTGGCACATCCCTAACTTGTGTGTGTGTATGTAGGAGACGTTTCAGGTGAGTTCGTTGGCCGTGGGTTCAGTTCTACAACTGGTGGACCAAGTGATGTCCTGTAAACTAAGAAATGGATTTGCTGTCATCAGGTAACAGAAACAGCAGTTGTTCTGTCTTCAGTCCAAATGTCCATGTATAGGTCGTCATCAGCGTGTCTCACCTGTAATGTTCCTCTGTGTGTCAGACCTCCAGGACATCACGCTCAGTCCAATTTGGCGAATGGATACTCTATCTTCAACAACATTGCCATTGCTGCTCGATATGCTCAGAACACACACGGAGTCAAGAGGTATAGGCGGGTGTGTGCGTTTTAAAGCCTTATTTTAAAACTGAAAGTTAAAATAATTTGAAAAACAAAATGTCTTGTGTATTTGTTGCTATTTTAGAGTGTTGATAATGGATTGGGACATTCACCATGGTCAAGGAATCCAGTACCAATTTGAGGAAGACCCAAGGTACTAACAACAAAACACAGTTAATAATCATATATGTAATTACATTGTATTTAGGCAAACCAGCCACTAGGGTACACGAAGCCGTGTTTTATAGTGCCGGTCCCAAGCCCGGATAAATGGTGAGGGTTGCATCAGGAAGGGCATCCGGCATAAAACTTATAGCCAAATCAAATATGCAAATCACCAAAACGAGAGAAGAAGAGGAGGGCGTTTGGTTAGGAGAAAAAGAGAAAAGATGAAGAATAGAAGTGTTAGTCTGAAGTTTGGAACTTTGAATGTAGGTACAATGACAGGGAAAAGTAGAGAAATAGCTGATGTGATGGAGAGAAGAAGAGTAGATATTTTGTGTGTGCAGGAGACCAGGTGGAAGGGCAGTAAGGCTAGAAACATTGGAGGAGGCTACAAACTGTTTTATCATGGTTCAGATGGGAAGAGAAATGGAGTAGGGGTGATCCTAAAGGAAGAATATGTAAGAAATGTGGTAGAGGTGAAAAGAGAGTCAGACAGGTTGATGTGTGTGAAGGTAGAAGTAGAAGGAGAGATGATTAATGTTGTTAGTGGTTATGCCCCACAGGTGGGCTGTGAGTTGGAAGAAAAGGAGAAGTTCTGGAAGGAGCTAGATTGGATGGTAGAGAGTATCCCCAGGAGAGAGAGAGTGGTGATTGGAGCAGACCTAAATGGTCATGTAGGGGAAGGGAACAGAGGAGATGAGGAAGTGATAGGCAGGTTTGGTGTTAGGGAGAGAAACGTAGAAGGACAGGCAGTGGTAGATTTTGCAAAGAGAATGGAAATGGCTGTGGTAAACACATATTTCCAAAAGAAAGAGGAACATAGGGTGACTTACAAGAGTGGAGGCAGGTCCACACAGATAGATTATATTCTATGTAGAAGATGTAATCTGAGGGAGATTAGAGACTGTAAGGTGGTGGCAGGTGAGAGTGTAGCCAAACAACATCGGATGGTAGTGTGTAAAATGACGATGGAGGTGACAAAAAGGAAGAGAGTGAAGACAGAGCAGAAGATCAAGTGGTGGAAACTAAGGAAAGAGACATGTTGTGAAGACTTCAGGAAGGAAGTAAGGGCAGTTCTGGGTAGTGTTGAGATATTCCCAGATGATTGGGAGACTACAGCTGCAGTGATGAGGGAGACAGGTAGGAAGGTGCTAGGTATGTCCTCTGGGCAGAGAAAGGAGGACAAAGAGACCTGGTGGTGGAATGAGGAGATCCAGGAGAGTGTGCAGAGAAAGAGATTAGCGAAGAAGAGATGGGACAGTGACAGAACAGAAGAGAACAGACTGGAGTACAAAGAGAGGACAAGGGAGGTGAAGAGGGAAGTGGCCAAGGCCAAACAAAAGGCATATGAGGAGTTGTATGAGAGTTTGGAAACAAAGGAAGGAGAAAAGGAGTTGTATAGATTGGCGAGACAGAGAAATCAAGCTGGGAAGGATGTGCAGCAGGTGAGGTTGATTAAGGACAGAGAGGGGAATGTGATCACAAGTGAGGAAAGTGTGCTGAGAAGATGGAAGGAATACTTTGAGGAGTTGTTAAATGAGGAAAATGAAAGGGAAAGTAGAAACGAGGAGCCAGAGACTAGTAGGAAGAAGGTAGATCAGGTTAGAAAGGATGAAGTTAGAAAAGCCCTGAAGAGGATGAAGAGTGGAAAGTCAGTTGGTCCTGATGACATACCAGTGGAAGTATGGAAGTGTTTAGGAGAAGTGGCAGTAAATTTCCTGACTGGTTTGTTTAACAGAATTTTAGAGACTGGCAAGATGCCTGATGAGTGGAGAAAAAGTGTTCTGGTGCCAATTCATAAGAAGGGTGATGCACAGAGTTGTAACAACTACAGAGGGATAAAGTTGATGAGCCATACAATGAAGATTTAGGAAAGAGTAGTTGAAGCTAGGTTGAGGCAGGAAGTGGAGATTTGTGAACAACAGTATGGTTTCATGCCTAGGAAGAGTACCACAGATGCAATATTTGCCTTGAGGATGTTGATGGAGAAGTACAGGGAAGGTCAGAAGGAGCTGCATTGTGTATTTGTAGATCTAGAAAAGGCATATGACAAAGTGCCAAGGGAGGAATTGTGGTTTTGTATGAGGAAGTCAGGAGTGGCAGAGAAGTATGTTAGTTTGGTGCAGGACATGTATGAGAATAGTACAACAGTAGTGAGGTGCGCTGTTGGGAGGACAGAAGACTTCAAAGTGGAGGTGGGACTACATCAAGGATCGGCCCTGAGCCCCTTCTTGTTTGCTGTGGTGATGGACAGATTGACAGATGAGGTCAGACAGGAGTCCCCATGGACTATGATGTTTGCAGATGACATTGTGATCTGTAGTGAGAGTAGGCAGCAGCTAGAAGAGAACCTAGAGAGGTGGAGGTTTGCACTAGAAAGAAGAGGAATGAAGGTCAGTCGCAGCAAGACAGAGTACATGTGTGTAAACGAAAGGCAGAACAGTGAAATAGTGAGGCTACAAGGAGCAGAGGTGGTGAAGGTGCAGGAGTTTAGGTACTTAGGATCAACTGTTCAGAGCAGCGGAGACTGTGGAAGAGAGGTGAAGAATAGAGTACAGGCAGGATGGAACAGCTGGAGAAAAGTGTCAGGAGTGATCTGTGACAGAAGAGTGTCAGCTAAGGTGAAGGGAAAGGTTTACAGGACAGTGGTGAGACCAGCCATGATGTATGGTTTAGAGACAGTAGCAATAGGCAGAAGACAGGAGGAGGAGCTGGAGGTGGCAGAGTTAAAGATGCTAAGATTCTCTTTAGGAGTGACAAGAATGGACAGGATCAGGAATGGTCATTAGAGGGACAACACAGACAGGAAGGTTTGGAGAAAAAGCTAGAGAAGCCAGATTGAGATGGTTTGGACATGTGCAGAGGAGGGACAGTGGATACATTGGTAGAAGAATGTTAGAGATGGAGCTACCAGGTAGGAGACAAAGAGGAAGGCCAAAGAGGAGATATATGGATGCAGTGAGGGAGGACATGCAGATAGTTGGAGTCAGAGTAGAAGATACAGAAAACAGGGAGAGATGGAAAGAAGAAGACATATGACAAAGCATGAATGTATGCAGTTACGTCTGTAATCAATAATAATATCATGTAATAATAAGGCATGCCTTGTAATATCGTCTGACCGATAATGAAAACTTGATAACACAAAGCCTTGGCTTCACCATATGATGTGTTACGTAAAAATATTTTTCGGGTAAAAATGGCTGTATCTGTAAATGAAAGCCACCAGATGGCAGCATTACAGCTCCATGTTATTTATCAATTTTAAAAATCAGGGGAATTTATGCAGAATGTTGGTGCTAGCAACTCATACAGTGGTTTGTACAGATAAATAAATATTAACAAGCCCTCGATAGTATAGGGGGGCACTTATGTCCCCTTTGGGAGGATGTTTGGGGGGCATGGCAGAAAATAATTGAGAAACACTGCTTTAACAGGAGCAGGTGGCACTTAATTTCCTTAACCACCAGTTCACCACTGCCCAGCTACTGTATATTGGTATCGTATGATATCAGAATCAGAAATGTAGTATTTGGACAATCGGATATGGGCAAAATTGGACATCCCTAGTAATAATAAGGACGGCAGAAAATAACGTGAAATGATGAGAACAGAGTATTCTGTTTTATTTCATGAATATGCATGATAATGTATTAAAAAATAAGTCACTGCCAGAGAAAAACCAAAACAAGTAACAGGTAAATTTAAAATATACTGAAACTACTTAAGCAAGGAATGATGTTTGTTTTAGCTAAGATAAAAACTGTCTTTCCTTATTTCTCATCTGTCTTTCCTTATTTTTATTTGATAAAAACATCAGATTCTTTTCTAACATTACATACTGACCTTTGACACTTTGGTTTAGTTCAAACAAAGCTTTTCTTAAAAAAACAAAAAACAAAAACAATGTTAAATTAATCGAAAAAAAAATATATATATATATATAATTTGGAAATACCCCTGCTCTAGAACGGAATTGACTACCTGAGGTCCATATTTTGTAAACGATCTACTAAATTTCTAAATATGATTATACGTGCAATATTATTTTTTGGGATATGTTTGTTAACACATGATACAATGTAAAACACTGTACACTACTAGGTAGTACTGTACTTTAGTACGTTACAATATAGACATGAAATAACACACATTTATGAAAATGTCCTAACATACGTATGATACTGTTACAGCTGCATTACATTGTCATGACAGAGCTGTAAAAATGTATTGTATTAACCCCAAAAAAACAATAACAGAATGATACAGTTATGTACAGTAATTCTAAAATATAATAACACACGTATGACCCCTCCCTTCTCCTTCCCAGTGCTCTTTACTTCAGTATCCACAGATACGAGCAGATGTCCTTCTGGCCTCACCTGCCAGAGTCTGATAGTATGTTTGTGGGTAGTGGACGAGGTAAAGGACGAAACATCAACCTAGCCTGGAACAAGGTGAGACTGAGAGTCTTATTGCGCTTAAGGAATAAGTTCCATTCTAGAAAGACAATTTATTTGGTATACTGCTGCCTCCTGTGGCCAGTTTGTATCACTGATGTAGATCTAAACAAAGGATATTAACAGTAATTTCATAAAATAGCACATTGATGCAGGCAACATAGGACAACTTCTGTCTATAGAGTTTAGTTTCTAAGCAACTGGACTTTTTCTTTGAGCTTGAAAGACGATTAGTTCTTCAACTGAGGATTTTCATTTGTTTCTGGTTGATGCAAGAGGGAACCCTAGGACAGTGGTGCCTCGAGATACGAGTCTAATCCACACTCATATGTCGATCCACTCATATCCCGATCGAATTGTCACTATTAAAAATAACTAAATACCAATTCATTTGTTCCAGACCCCCCAGAAATATACAATGAATTAACTTAACCTCCTCCCATATAAACATCACAAATATAGATATAAACAATGTATTCCATCCATCCATCCATCCATTTTCATCCGCTTATCCGTTGTCGCGGGGGCAGCAGTCGCCACCCAAATCGCATTGCACCGTACCAACCCCCCCCCAAACCTTCCTGCAGGTGGTGAGTCCACTGGAAGGTACCAACCGCCCTAACCGGGATTCGAATTTGCCCAGGAGGTGAACCCTCTGGGCCAAAGCGCCACTTAAACAATGCATTGATCGTATTAAAGAATAATAATTAAGAAAAACATTTTATATTATTGTTATAAAAAATGGGTAAAATAACCAAGCGTCGGAGAGTGAGCGAGACAGCGCAACAGTGTTGAGAATGTTGTGAGCAGCATTGCACTGCACAAACCACATTGTTGAGGTTTTCCCCTGGGGTTTTGTCCTGGAGATGGACTCACCTCTGAGTGTGTTGCCTGGTTTAAAGTATACTGGGATCCTGAAGATACTAAAGACCCTTCTTAGTTTCTCAGATAGACCAGATGCATAGGGCAACCGCCGTGTGCCACCTTTTGCTGTTTCCCTTTGGGTGTGGTTGTGGTTTGGTTGCTTTTTCATCGTCTTTTGCCTGATTTGCTGAAAGCCCAATTGAGGTAACCACAGGTTTTTAGGGCCTGTTTGATATATGCGTGTTGCATATGTCAGAAATGTTGTGTTAATATTTGTATTTTTGTAATTATGATTATGATTTTAGACTCAGATGAATGATTCTGATTACATCGCTGCTTTTCAACAACTGCTCCTGCCTGTGGCATACGAGGTAAACTTTTTTTTTTTGCCACTTACTGAGTCTTGTTGTGTCTTGTTTTACTATGTGTCTACTAGTGCTGCACGATTTTTTTTATGACAATGTGCAATTGCTAATATTGTGGACAGTATTAGGATTAGCAATTACGATATAAATGAATAATAATAAATAATAATAATATAAAAAATAATTTAATATATAATAAGTGATATATTTTTAGTGAAAGTTGTTGACAAAAATAAATCACCAATCACAGTTTTTTTTTAATGCGGTTATGTAATCGCAAAGCGTGACATCGCATTTGCAACTGCAGTTAGATCAGTTATGCGGTAGTATCTACCTTGCTGCTGTAACAACAAAATGTCCCCCAGTGTGGGGTAAATAAAGTCTTACCTTACTTTTACCTTTCCATATCTTACCCTATCTTACACAAATGAATGTTAACCTTTTAAAAAATAATTTGATTTCATTAGTTTAGATTACGTTTTACATACATTTTGGCCAATTTAAATGCACCTACATTTTTTATGATGACAGTAAGCTCTGCGTTGGTCTCAGTTTCAGCCTCAGCTCGTTCTGGTTTCTGCTGGGTTTGATGCTGCTGTTGGAGATGTAAAGGTAAAGACTTAAAAAGACTTAAAGACCTAAGATCAGCAATGATCCTTTTTGGCTGTGATCTTTGACTACGGCTTTGTGTCTGTGTGTATTTGTTGACGTGCAGGGGGAGATGTGTGTTACTCCTCAGTGTTTCCACATTCTCACTCACATGTTGATGAGTATTGCTGAAGGTCGACTTGTTCTTGCTCTGGAGGTAAAATCCTCACACACACAGAGAGACACAGAGAGAGAGAGAGAGAGAGTAACTGCAGTATGTACAGTAGGCCTCGTCCTGTTTTTGTGTCTGTTTTAGGGAGGTTATAACCTTCAATCCACAGCAGAGGGCGTGGCAGCCTGTGTCCGATCTCTCCTTGGAGGGCCCTGTCCACCTCTGGCTCCACCCACTGCTCCGTCTGATAGGTACAAATCACTGGTTTATCAACACTCCCTCCTCTGTTCATTTATATCTGCATTTTTATCTGAACGTTTAAGACGTTGTCACTTCCTGTCTTTGTTTTTGTATTAGTGCACTGCAGTCCATTAGTCAGACCATCTCTGCTCAGTGTCCATACTGGAGCTGTCTGCAGGTGCTGGGTAAGACACAGACACAGTACAAGTAGTTTGA